CAAGCCTTATTCTAGGTGTGGAGCCACAGCAATAAGCAAAACAGAAAGAGAGCCCTGTCCCCTGGAGCTGACAGCATAGTGCCTGGCAAAAGTACAGAGGTGCTGGTTGGAGGATTGGTGAGTGGAGAGGGGTGTGGTCAGAAGACAGAGTGTGGGTGGAGAATGAAAGGATGGTTTGGAGGTGGGGTTAAGGAGGATGAGGCCAGGACCAGAACTCCAACTTTATCCAGTGGGCAGTGAGGAGCCACGTGCGTGTGGGCGAGGAAGAGTCAGACTTGAGGGATGAAAAGATCACTCCAGCAGATGTGGACATCGGAGAGAAGAAGACACAGTGGTCCCCAAAGGAGGCACTAGGGCAGCTGTACCCATTAGTATTCCATGTGCTAGAGCCATGTGAGCATGTGTAAAGGGATGAGTCTGTGTATAGGAGTGTGTGTATGTGTGTGTGTGTAGGAGTGATGGGTGTGTGTATGCGTATCTATAAAAAGATAGTAATTGTATAGATGATTGTGTGTCTCCTGGGACACCTTTGTGTGGCAGAAGACTCTTGGGGTTTGTAGAAAATAGGGGGCAGACACCGAGATGTGCCAAGGCCTGAGTCCCCTGGACTTCAGCCCATATGTGAGTTGGCAGGTCCTGGACTAGTCTAGACTAGAATCCTCCAGGCTTCCTTCCCCCTCTAAGGTTATGGAGCTGGCCATCTGCTGCAGAGAAGACAAATGTGTATGCAAATAACACGGGGATGGATGAGACCTGTGGTTGACCAGCCCCCCCACCCCTTGTCCCTTGAGCCTGAGTTCACTCAGCCTGTGTTCTTTCCCACTCAGAGCTGCTGTGGGGGCTCTGGGAGCTGGCGCTGCCCACTCTGAACCCAGATCCACACTGTCCACAGTACCTGCCTGTGGCCAGATCCTTTCTCTGTAGGGGTCACCCTATATCTGGGGCCAGTGCCTATGAACACCCACAGCTGACCTGGGCTAGTGGACATGAGCAGCACCTCTGTTAAGTGTGAATTTGAGTACACATAGACTTACACATTTGCACATACATTTATACATGAATGGCCCATAGGCCATATATGGACACTTGTGCACACACACAACTGTACACATATACTTGCATGTGTTCATAGACACTCATACCTGTGCACACATACCTGTCTGCACACACATATATGCATGTTTCTGTAGATACACATCTCTGTACACATACACGAGTTCGGCTCTACCATGGAAGCACTGCACATGAGAGATACAGATACAAAGTTACAAACCTGTACTCTGCCTCTTCTGCCCTCACCCACATCATGCTCACAGCCTGTGTGCACGCACACACTGTGTGCACACACCAGGGCTGACCAAGGGTGGCTCACCAGGGTGTGCCCTCTCTGGGCTGAAGCACTGAGGGCGGGCTCCAGCTGGATGCACAACCCGCAGGGATGTCAGTTCCTCCAAGATGCCTCTCAGATTGTACCCTGGCAGGGCCCCTGGGGTGGTGGAGCTCCCTTTAAGTCCATGGGCTCCACCTCCAGTCACAGAAAAACAGCCTCGCACACTGCCTCCTGAGAAGCCCCCATGTTGGGATCTGGCCCTTGCTCACAGTCCTTGGGCCCAGCATGACCGGGCAGGCCTGCCTGCCCCAGAGGGCTGCCTTCTGCTGGCTGGGCCTCCCTGGACACTGCCTTCCTCTACCTGAACTGCCCAAGTCCTCAGAGAGAACCAGGCCAAACTTCACAGGGCCTGAGCCCTGCCTGAGGCCACCCAGCACTTTGGACAGGGCTCAGCTTGAACCTGGGACTTCCAGGAGTCTGACCACACTCAGCAACCAGAGGATAGATGTATGTCAGGGGCACAGATGGGCTCCTGGAAGCTGGACACATGGTCATGGGGGATGGGAGCAGATTTGGGGTCTATTGAGGGTCTGCTGGCATCACAGAAATGGAGAGATGGCAAGTAGGAAAGTCTGCTCTTCAGACCCGAGTGAGGAAGTGCAGTGTCCAGAGAGGGGTCATTATTAGGAACAGAGACAGGCTGGTTCTTGGACAGGTCCTGAGTTTGAGAGGCCCAGTACTCAGACTGACAGGCTCTCAGCTGAGAAACCTTGTCCTAAAATACCCAGTCTGAAGTAGCTGGGCCCTGGACAGCTTAGTGTGACCTTTAATGTGGGGAGATGAAAAGAGGTGGCTGCAGGTCTGGGTTCGGCGCCCCTAAAACTGAACTTCCTCGTGGCAGAGGTGGGTATAGGGCTCAGGGCCTGGGAGTATAAGACCCTGACTGCATTCTTGGGGACAACAGGAGAGCTGGGAAAATTAGATTTTCTCTCATGCCTTTCCTTAAGAGACAGCATGAATATAAAGCACAGATTGGAGCCAGATGGACTAGGTTTGACTTTTGGCTCTACTACTTATTAACTCTGTGACTGTGGGCAAGTTACTTAGTTTCTCTGTGCCTCAGTTTTCCTTATCTGTTAAATGTGACTAATAATGGGTCCTGCCTTCTAGTACTGTTGAGAAGACAAACTATGAGGCACAGAGTAAGTACTCAGCAAATGTTAAAGTACAAGAGATGCTGGCTGTGCAAGGCCAGGGTTGGCCCTTTTCTTTAGAGACTGAGATAGCCTCTCCTGAAGAACAAATAGCTCTGGCCTGTGGCTGTAACAGATGTCTCCTGGATACCTTGTCCTACCTGCACTGTCTGGAGCCCAGGCTTGAGTTGATAATAGATGCTCAGGATTTACCAAGAGACTTGTGTACTGGTTTCAGACTCAGTACTTATAATAGCCCTTACATTGGTCACTCCCTTAACAGAGCAAGAAGCTGAGGCCAAAAAAAGAGAAGGGAGGCCTTCTCTTTTTGGTCAGAACCTTTGCACATCTTAGCCCATGTAATATTTTCTACAGCATTAATAAGTAGGACAAGTTGCCCCCAGTCTGAAGATGCAGTAAAAAACACTGACTTGGCCTGGATTACTTTGTGACAAAGGAGTTCCCCATCCCTTCCTGTGCCCCTAGACATGACTCCTAGGAAAGATGAAAGAAGGGGGACCCAGAGGACTAAGGTAACATCCAGGGAAGGCCTACTGGAGGAGGTGGGCATCCACTGGCCCCTGAAAGATAAGCAGGCCCAGAGGGCATTGGGGTTGGGGTGGTTGAGTGAAGGCCTGAAGGTAAGAATGAGTCAGTCACCCAGCAGAATAGAGAGGGCAGCATAAATTTAAGGAATGGTGGTGAGAGGGTCAAAGCCGAAACAACAAATTGGGTCTAAGTTATAGAGGGTCTGCCATGTCAGGCTGAGGGTTTGGGCTTTACTGTGCTGCCAGCAGGGAGTCACTGAAGGTGTGTGAGCAGGGGAAGAGGCATATCCAGAGCTGGGCCACAGAAAGAGAGGTGGGAGAACTCTTGGCTCCCCCTGAGGTGGTGGCACAGCCGGGGCTCTGCCCAGCCTGTGTGCCTGGTGCCTGGACTGTGTCCAGGACTGGGTTCAATGACTCAACCTTGAGGAAATCACTCCCCAGGGAGAAAGGACCCAGATGAATCAGCCCAGTAAGGTGGGGAGCTGGGAAGCTGGGGGTTCACTGAGTCACCCTCCAAGAGGGGCCAGAAGGGTGGGGGATAAGGGGAGAGTTGCAGAAAGAGGGGACTGCAGTGCAGTGGGAAGGATTCAGGTCAGACCACAGCAAGGGCTGTCAGGGGACTCTGGCTGCCTGCCCACCATTGTGGGGTTGATTTTCCTGGCAGTGTTGTGAAAGAGATGGGAAAACTGAAGCCCAGAAACCAACTGGGGAGGGGATCTGACCAAGGTCATGCAGTTAAGCAGCTAGATGGCAAAGGCGAAGAGAGACCCAAGACACCCTCCAGTCCAGACACGTCCCACCGCCTCAGCCGTCCTCGTGCCAAGCGGAGGCTAGGAAGGGGGTGGGTCCAGGCAGGGAGTTGTCCCAGGTGACCCCTTCCCCCTCGAACCCCCGCCCTCCCCACACACACATCAGCCCGCGCAGATGGCAAATCGGGCCGGGCCGCGCCGCCGCGATGGGACAGCAGAGGGCGCAGGAGCGTCACGGCTGCCGCAGGCGCCTGAGCACAGAGGCCGCTCTGCGGACAACTGCGCTCTGAGTTCGCAAGTCCCACCGCGGAACCGTGGACTGTGTGGCCCTGGGGCCTGCACCCTCTCCGGCTTGCGGGAACACCCGCGCAGACCTACCTGCCCAGTGCTGGGGGCCCAGTGAGCCTACCCTCGATTCAGGAATGGTGCGCCCATCTGTGCGCTAGCGTGTCGGTGCGCACGTGTCTTCCTCCCAGATTTGCTACTGTTCCCAGAGCCTGTCAGACTCCGAGCGACCTCTAAAATTTCCCCTCATTCCCCTCTTTTTCCTGGAAGAAGAGCAAACCCAGGATCCCGTGTGTCGTGCCAGTGGTCCCTTCCCTTCTATCTCCCCTAGCGGACCGCCCTCCACTCCCTCACTGCACTGGTCTCTCTGCCTTCGGGCTGTGGCCCGGCTCCAGGACTTTATAAGTAAGTGGAGGGGGAGAGGATGTGATCAGACAGGAAAGGGGCTCAGACTCCTGAGAGGTAGTGGAGTGGAGGAGGAGCAGGAGAAGGGAGCGAAGGCGGAAAGCCGGCTACCTGGCGGGGGATCCCAGTAGCGGGCCAGCCGGAGAAATCTTGAGAGCGGAGAGATAAGGGAAGTGACAGCTGGTGGGGGCTCTGATGGGGGTCCGAAGATCGGACAGGCTGAGAGGTGCTGTCCACGGATGCGCGGAGATGGGCGGGGCCGGGGCGGTCGAGGGGCGGGGACGTGGGCGGTCCGGGGCGGGGCCCGGCGGTCGAGGGGCGGGAAGTGGGCGGTTCGGGGCGGGGCCGGGGCGGACACTCGCTCGGACCCGGCGAAGCTGTCGCGGACGCGCCGACCGAGCGCAGCGGCCGGGCCGGCGGGCGGGCGGGCGGCTGCGAGCATGGTCCTGGTGCTGCACCACATCCTCATCGCTGTTGTCCAATTCTTCAGGCGGGGCCAGCAGGTCTTCCTCAAGCCGGACGAGCCGCCGCCGCCGCCGCCGCCGCAGCCATGCGCCGACAGCCTGCAGGTAGGGAGCGGGGGCCCGCTCTGGGCTCGAGGGGAACCGGGTGCTGGGTGAGCTCCCGGCCCGGTCCTCCGCTGAGCGTGCTGTCGCCGGCCCCATGGTCCACCCTGCTCCTCAACCCTCCTAGGGTGATGAAACCCCCACCCCCACCCCCCGCCCCAGTTTGAGTCCCACTTCTGTGCTGGAACTGCAGCCCATACCCAGAGACCTTGAATGCCCAGGTCACAGTTCAAAACCTCATGCCTGACTCTGAGCCGGTTTCAGATCTGGGACTCCACCCCAAGCACTGAACTCCCAATCCACAGTGGGACCCCCTGGCACACCCAAAAATTCTGCTGGAGCCTGGAACCCCCTGATTCCCATAATAGTAGAGGACCCCTGCCCATATCCCTGAACCCCCCAATATATTTTCAGATTCCAGATACACCCAGAACACCTGAATCCCAACTCTCAGCAAGGACCCCACCTCAGAGCTGGAGCCTCACCTCACGCTCCTGAGCCCCTACTCCACAGCCTCATCTATGCCCCCATCCAGGTTCCTACTCAAACATCTGCTCAGTCCTCACACGAGACCCCACCCCTGAGTCTAAATGCCCTTTCCATCTCGGTTTCTCTCTCCTTCTCTGCAGGATCCCCCTCCCACTCTGTTCCTGCTTTCCCCTCCTCCCTCCTCCATAAGAGATCTTAGTCTTTTCTGGCTTGTCTCACCCTCTCCTCTTGTTTCTCTCTGGGTATGTTGGCTCCAATTTATTCTCTGGTTTCTTTTCTGGCTTCTCTGAGTCTTTCTGGGCATCCTCTCTCTCTCTGCCCCTCTGTTTCTCTCCTGTTTGGTCTCTCTTGCCCATGTGCCCACCTCTCTCAGTCTGCCCATCACTCCTCCAATTTCTCCAGGTTTCTATCTTTGTTCTAGGGCCTTTCCATGTGGTCATCGTCCCCCTTATGTCAGCCTCTGATTTTGGGTGGTGAGGGGACTGGCTCAGAATGCCAGGCCAGTGTCCCCAGAGCCTCCACCACTCCCCTTGTTGTCATGGTGTGGGTGCTGGTAGAAGGGGCTAAACATGGAGCACGCAGCCCTTGGGCGGTGCCCAGGGATCTAAGGCGGGTGGGGATCGTGCAGTGGGGCACTGGGGTTCACATGAACGATGAGGATATGGCATTGCATGGCACGTGCAGCTGGGGAGGCTGAGTTGTGCGTGTGGAGTGGTAGCTGTTCATATGACTGTTGCATGTGTGGGGAACTTATGTGTACATGGTGTGTGCCTGTCTTCATGGGGTGGAGTAGTTGTAGGGGCCACTTACACAGGGGACTGTGTATATATGTTATAAACTGTTGTATGTAATCAGGAAAAGCCACTGCTGGGCCCCAGTGAAAGGTTTTACTGGATGTCTTACTTGAAGCGGGTGGAGAGAGGGTCTCTGTGAGTGTGTGAGTGTGTTTGCAGCCAAGGTGACTGACTTCGAGTCACCAAGTTACATCCTGGAGTTGGTCAGGAAATATATGGGGACATGTGTGTTGGTGTTTGAGTGTTATATGTCTATGTGATGGCTGTTGGTACAACTCTGGGTAGGAAAGAGTGCAATGGCCAGGGCCCAGGGGTCCAAGGCAAAGACTTGTTGACTAAGTGTATGTGTGTATGTGCACACACAAGTGTATGTGGGGAGGAGGCAGAGTGCAGGCAGGACTGTCTGTGCTAAGGAGCTGTGTGTGCCCATAAACATGTGATATTTTGATGTGACATTAGGTATGCACATTATTTATGCAGGGTGTGTCTGTGTCTGGTGGTGTGTGTGTATTGAATTTAATTGGATGTGTGTGTGTTTGGAGAGGTGAGCATAGGGTGTGAGAGGTGCGTGTGGGAGGTTGAGTGAGTGTGGTGTGAAGCGTGGGTGTGTGAGCTGGATGACTTTTCCGTGTGATGTGGATTATGTGATCTTTTCTCCCTATGAGCTGTTTATGTATGAAGGGTGTCCAGGGAGCAAGGGTATGTGTGGGGGTGAGGCAGTGTGGAGGCCTGTGGAGGGTGCTGCAGCGGGTGAGGGAGTGTGTGTATAAGGTGTTTGGGGTGAAGAACACGGTGTGTGATGTTCAAGTGGGCAGAATACAGCAGGTGTCCCTAAAATGTGTGTGTGTGAGGAGGGCTTGACTGCCATCCTGTCCTTGCTTTCCTCCCAGTTAGGTCCCCAGAGATGCCCAAGCCAGGCTGCCTTTACCCTTTGCCCTTCATCCTCCTCGCTTTCACCAGGGCCTTTGTCTTGGGTTTCCGGTCGAGCAGGCGCTGGACAGGCGGGCGGCGGGTGATGTTGAGGTCTGGGAACCTTTGTTCTTTTCCTCTTAGCCTGTCTCGTGTTTGGGGCCGGGATTGGAAGGGGTGGAGAGAGGATGCACGTGTCTCGGGGTCACTGTGTTTCACTACCAGCTCACAGTGCTCTGCAGAGGGTGGGGGTTCAGGCACAGGTACTGAGGCCTGGGTGGTATCCCCGATGGCGCCTTTTTGACTTAAGAGCAGCTGGGGCTGGGCTTGGAGTTGGGCGGGTTTGCCAACCGTGAGGTCTTAGTCCCAAGCATGGCCCAGTGCCCTTCCTGCTCACGTCATCTTCGGGGTGCTGAGCAGCCCTGTTCCCTCTTCTGTAGGCTGGCTGGTCCTCTTCCCTTCTCTGTGTGGGGCCCGGAGAGGCTTCCTGAGCTGGGAGACAACCAAGAAGACCTCAACCAGTCTCCACTCATATTGATCCCACATCTGATGGGGGGATAGTTTCTGTCTGCCCAGGGCTTTAATCTAAAAAAGGAGACCTGATCACACCTTTTGGGACCTTCTCGTTTGATGGACCCAGTAGGAGGATCCAGGTCATACTCTCCAGAGAAAGCTATGGGGAAACCTTAGTGGGCAGCTTTACAAAAGGGACTCGAGAACACGAAAAGACAGGACTCCTGGTGGTTGGGAGCCACAGAGACCATCAGAGTCAGTCAGGGGAAGGGGCTCAGGGCCACTGCCTCAGCACCACATTCCAGAAGGTTCTCTGAAGTGAGTGAGCTTGAGCTGAGCCCTGGAGGGGATGTAGAGAAATATAGCCTGAGGTTGAGGAAGATTCTGGCCCAACTGGAAGAGAGGGATCTTGAAGGCTGTTGAACATTCCCAAGCAATACTGTCTGACTTCAGGTGGCCATCTCTGGGCCTCCTCCCTTCTCAAGTTTTCACGTCTGGCCCATCCCGATTGTCTTTGGCCAGAATCATCATTGTCATTATCTTCATCATCAGCTTTCTTTCCAGATTCCAAGCTCCTTTCACAAATGTCTCCTTTAACAGATGAGCTCATTCCATTGTCTGAAAGCGTTTATTGAGTACCTGCTAGGCCACAGGCAGGCACAGTGTTAAGTGCTGGGCGTATAGCAGTGACCAAACAGGCCTCATGGGGTTCCTACTTTCTGTGTCTAAGGAACCCTGTCTTTGTGGCCCATCCACACTGTCAGCCCCGCCAGCCCTGGGCAGATGGCCCTCTTTCTGTGTTTTCCTGCAGCCTGATGTGCACTTGATGTGCTGCAGGCAGGCATCCCATGGTATTGGGGTCTGGCTCCCACTAGAACATGAGCTCTTCAGAGGCTGGGCGGGATCTGCCCTTCCCATGTGTCCTGACCTGGGCTTAGCATAGTCCAGATGCTCATACTGATTATCAGAGGTCCCAATCCCCTGTAGGGTTGGCAGCCCCGCTGCCATCTAGGGAAACTGAGGCCTAGAGTGGGGAGCTCTTTAGGGAGCCTCCTCTTAAGACCTTCCTTTGCCCAGTGTTGCCAGAGACCAAGAGAGGTCAGGTGACTTGTGCAGGTTTCACAGCAAGGTGGCATGGCTGGTCCTAGAATACAGCTCTCTGGCTGCCAGGCTGGGCTCTGGCCCCAGCACCATGCTGCTCCCTGGCTGGCCTCCGGGCTGCCTGTGGCGGGTAAATGATTATTAATGACCCCCCTGGCAAGGAGACAGGAAACGTTTCCCAACCACAGCTGGGGACCTGCTCCCTGCCAGCCCCAGCCATCCATACCCGCCCTGGCCATGGGTCAGCATTGATGTTATCACCATGCTGCCTTGGCCTTCTGTCTGTCTTCCTGCCCATCTGACTCCCACCTCCCTTTCCTCTAAGGGATAAAGGACAAGACGGAACAGAGCTTTCTCTTTCACATCTCTGTCTCCAGTTTGCTTCATCTCCACCTTCTCCCTTGCCCCGAACCAGCCGGAAGTATTCTCTCCTCCAGGAAGTCTTCCCTGAATGCGCCACCATCCCCTTCTTCCAGTGGCCTTGTCCTGAGCTCTCGTCACTGAATCTGGCTGATTGCAGACTTTGGCCTCACTTTGATGGTTTGCTCTGATGGTCCTAAGGCTGGGCTGGTGACTTCCTGTGTGGCCTGTCCTCAATAGCTGTCTTAGGGCTGACACGTGGAGTATTGTCCCAGATGCTTCCTCCAGGAAGTCCCCAGCCCAGCCCAGGAACTCTCACTTCCTCTGACTATCCCAGCCCTCCCTGTCCATGCCACAACTGTGTACTGCCAGGCCTTTATGAGCACCTACTATGTGCCCAACAGAGATGGTAGGTAGAGAGAACACAGTGTAGACCTTAAACTTCAGCCACACGTTGCCCTAAGTCTGAGCAACAAGGCATCTGCCTCTTGGCAGGTGAACAGACCCAGGTACCAGGGCCAATGGTGGTCAGGTGATGGGGTGATGGAGGGGCACAGACAAAGATGAATGCTGATAGATTGTGTGGGGAGGGCAACTCTGGAGAGAAACTTGGGGGCCATGGTGGGAACAAGGCAGGGGCCCCTAATTCAGCCCAAAGTTGCAGGGAAGGCAAGTTGGGGAGCTTCCAGGAGGAAGTATATCTAAAGTGGGAGCTGAGGGATGAGCCAGGAGAAAGTTCTGGACAGGGAGAAGGAGAGAATCGAGAACGTGAAGGCTTGCTGGTGACAGACAGAGGGAGGGAAGCGTTCTGTGGAGCTGGGTGCTGCACTGCCAGAG